ACAACTACACCCACACCTCCTGCAACTTCACTTACTGCGTGAGAGCCACTATATGAAGATAACAAAAATACTCACAACTGGACCTGTGAGCAGCATCATGATAAATGGAGAAAAGATTGAAGTTGTCAGAGACTTTCACGTTGCTTGGTTCTACAATTGATGTCAATGGGAGCAGCAGTCAGGACAACAGATGACATACAGCACTGGGCAAATCAGCAGTAAAGGACCTCTTTCAAGCACTGAGGAGCAAAGATGTCTCCCTGAGGACTGAGGTCTGCCGGACACAAGCCATGGTAATTTCAATCTCCTCATTTGCATGTGAGAGCTGGACAATGAATAAGGAAGACTGAAGGAGAGTTGATGCTTTTGAGTTGTGGTGCTGGTGAAGAATGCTGAGAGTTCCATGGACTGCTAAAAGAACTAACAACTCTGTCCTGGAGGAGGTGCAGCTGGAATGCTCCTTGGAGATGAGAATGCCCAGACTTTGTCTCACCTACCATGGTCATGTTGTCAGAAGAGACCATTGCCTGGAGAAGGATGTCATGCTTGGTAAGGTGGAGGGTCAACGAAAGAGGGGAAGGCCCTCAGTGAGATGGATTGACACAGTGGCTGCAGCAGTAGGCTCAAGTATAGCAAGGATTGCAGAGCTGGCGTGGGACTGGGCGGTGTTTCGTTCTGCTGTGCATAGGGTTGCTATGAGTTGAACACAACTTGATGGCACTTAACAACACAGCAGTCCGTGGTACATTCAGTGTTCTTCATCAGAATACCACAATTCAGATACTTTAGTTCTTCTGTGGTCTTCTTATTCATTGTCCAGGTTCCACATTTATAGGATGTGGTTGAAAATACCATGGCTTGGGTCAAGCACGTCTTAGTCTTCAAAGTGATATCTTTGCTCTTAAGTACTTTAAAGGTATCTTTGCAGCACATTTGCCCAGTGCAGTACGTAGTCTAATTTCTTGACTGCTTGAGACTGGAGTCATATGATTACAAGCCCGGGAATTGGCAGCCACCAGAACTAGAAGAGGTAATATGGTGTTGATTCTCCCCAAGTTCCCTGGAGTGACCAGCACTTTTGTTTGAATTTCTGGCCTCAAGAACTATCAGAAAATAAGTCTCTTTTAGTTTCAACCACTCTGTGATAATTTTTTCACAGCAGGCGTAGGAAACTAATATAATCTTGTTGTTAGCATCTTATGCTGTGTGTGACATAGATTATGATACATTAAAGTTATGTACTAGAAACACTAAAACAACAACTAAAAAATACAACCGAGTTATAGTTAATCAACTAAAAAAGAGAGCAAATGGGATCTAACAGTATTTAACCTTGAAGAAAGAGAAAAGGGGAGGAGGGAACAAAGAACATAATGGGAAAAACAGGAACAAGTAGTATGATGGCTTACGTCATCCTGGTCATACTAATACCGACATAAAGTGAAAGGCAGGGGTTTTCAGACCCTGGGAAGAACAGGGCCCCAGGATGTGTATACCCATTTTAAATGGAAAGATGCAGGTAGGCTACAAGGAGCAGCTTGGGA